AGAAAAATTGATTGTATTAAAATTTGTGACCAATATCATGATTTATTTATGATGGCTGCATGCCAAGTGTTATAAGAAAATAGTGAGATATTTGACAGTTCTTATTTATGGCAATACATATGGTTGGTTATTTATTGGTTGTTTATAACAGTACTTTTCAGTCTTTGATATTGAGTAAGCGAAGACACACACATATATACGTTTTTTTATTTATATGAGATCTTTACAAAAATATTTACTATTTAATGTTTCTTTATATTGAATTTTTAATCGTAGAAAATAAATTGTTCGACAAATTTTCGTACCAAATCTTTGAATTTTGCATTTATCTGTATCTGAAGGAAGTTGGTGATGTATATCATGCTAAACATGCTTTACGAGTTTTTACGCGTTATTCACAAAGCGAATTTTGAAATCGCAAGTAAGTCAAGGTTGGTTACTTCGACGTAATGAATAACACAAGGTTTTTATTCATTGCGTTTACGCAAATTGTGCTTGTTCTTACAGTGAATAAAGAGGCGCGTTGTCAGACATGGAGGCTAAGTCGCATCCGTTACTAGTGCGAACGGTACTTAATGGACTTACAATTGATTCAGTAGTAAAGTTTCATTTCTTCTATAGCAGACAAAAAACGACAAGAAGTGACCATGTCCTAAAGAGCCTCGTTAACCCTGAATCTTGCATAATTACCGTTTCATCATATCCGGTGCAAAATTAAAAAAAAAAAATTCTCTTAATTTAGCTCATTTACCTTTAAATTTAGCACATTTTGATTGCTGATTTGAAAAACTATAACATAACTATTCTGCAGAAAAATATTATCGCATAATGATGCAAATAAATGTAAATGGCAAACAAGACGGCTTTCACTTCCCGCGTTTGCGACTCCCGCGTCGAACATTTCCGCGTATAGCCATTGTGGAACAATATCGTCTACGCCAACTAATTAACTTTTCATGTCTCGCGCTTCTTAATGCACACTTGAATCGGTGTCTCACGCCTTTGAGAAGCTGACATAAGCTTGAGGAGCGCGTGAGCTTAACACTACGCGTCCGTGTGGATGCACGCGTATATTTGCAGTTCGAGATTCAGTTCAACAGATATCGATATGTGTTTGCATAACATCTTAGCAGCGTCGTACGCAACACTATTCCGTGTGAACACAATAGACCACGTGAGATCGGTTATACCACACCACCCAATGGTAGGATTCCATATGCGATTTTCAATTGTAGAAAGTGAATTATTTAACAAAGGAAAATATCACGCGTTTTATAGTACTTGTATCAACTCGATTTTATAGGTCAAAGATTATTTTCTCGATGGTTGAAAACTCGCAACTTTGATATGTTTTATCTTTGAATTATAGAAAAAATGAAGCTAATTGAATACAATTGAGCTTAGTCACAGTGATGCTCAATTACATAGATAATCATCGAAAGCGCTTCAATTGATACTTCCGGTGCGTAACTAATTTAAGCTGAACGATCGCGATGAATATTTACAATTTAGAATTTATCGTTGCAAATAAGTATCATCCGACATCATACCATATAAACACGCATTCTAGAAAATTAGCTTGAATTATCAAAGTCGCCTGCGGCCGCTGACGATTCGCTCGAGCGAATAAATTATCAGCGACCGTATATATGGCCGAATATGTAAATTGTACAATGATTGTACGAGAACTAGTAGCGTCTCCTCCTTTTCTCTTCTTCCTCGCGGTTAACTCGCACCGTACATCGACGAAAGGAATATATACGTGGTGTCGTAATGACCGATCGCCTTTCCCGACCGATCGGTGTCCACCGATCGTAGATCTGTCCTAATCAGTACGAGACACCGAGCATGCAACCGTATCGATGTTCGCCGTGTACCCTATCAAGGGAGGACTCGTATTCACTGGCGATATAGTACAACGATCCTGCACGTTACTCTACGAGCGACCGGTGTCTTATTTCTTAATTTCAACGAAAGCGCGACGACACTAATCGGTCCACATAATTAAGTTGTCGAAGAAGAGAAAGATGGTGCTCTTTTTGTAACGGTAATATGTATGTATGTGGTGCATATATACTATAGGAAGGCTATAAATATTATAGAACTTAACGAAATTACATACATATGCGACATATACACATATCACCGGAAGGTATCATGCTTCTCAATCTTAATCAATACAATGATATAATTCATTTGCATAATTATAAGAACAAAACATTTAGCATTTTATTTATGGTAGCGATATGTTCGAGTGTCGTGTCTATAAATATTATAGCATTGCACAAATCACGCGCGAGCACTTGCGTGAATCATGTCAGTATCACAGACAGAAAACATTCCTATCAGACTTTATAAAATATTGACGCATATTTTTGCGAGTTTATCAATACGGTGCAATTGATTTCCGCAAATCAAAAGAAGTATCAATGTAAAACTTATAGATTACCGAATAAAGAATGAATCTCGTTCTATCATAACGTGCATCAATCGGACGTAATAGTCGGGCCGTTATTCGTGAATCATAACAAATAATCGAGAGAAAAATCTTATCGCGTTTCAATATATCTTGGCAAATATATCTTTACTTTTAAACGATAGCACTTTGAGATGCAATTATCTTTAAGAACATTCAGATATGCTGGAAGAAAACTTCTTATCAAGTTTTCTCGAAACGAGGGTTGATGTGAGACTATATTGATAAACATTTTACTATCTGATATATGTATACAAGGTCGTGGTACAAGATGGCGGAATACTAAGGGCGAACTTAACACCGCGGCCATCAATTACCGTGATATACTAGTACATATAAACCGGCTACCGATGAGCCGATATTTATCCTGCAATAAATTACTCACGCCTAGTCCTGCGTTATCGTTAAGCGCGCAAGTATACTTTTATCATTCGTCTGATAATACTCCAGCGCTATCATTTCGCGCACAAAACTTGCATTAATAATCTGTTGACAGAGCCATTAGAGATAGTAAAAACGTGAAGAGGACGGTGATTCTTTTTATTATCAAGAAGAACACACATGGAATGTATATATTTTTGTTCGAGAAAGATGTGAAGTACATTCACATATAGATTTATCTTCTTCCTCCGTTATTTGCGCGCGTGCATCATTTTTATCGATACCTATCTTCCTTCGCATTTAGTCACGAAAAAGAGAAGCATGTGTCGTGAAAGAGGCCCGGTCCGTGTACGCGGTTACATATGGTCATTATTCGATGTAATTTTTAAGACGCGCGCGCGGGCTACTCATTGCTGTTTGTGGAACAGGATCATTATTTATTTTTTATTTTTTTTTTTTAATCAGCCTCTTTACCATCCAAATTTAAAAGCGCAACATATATATGAGCTGGCGAAATAATTATTCGTGAGATACATTTTTTGATCACATCAATATGCCAATGAATTTTTACGAATGGCTTGTAAGAACATCGAATAAAGCAGCATCGCATTAATATTCATCTTCATTTAAATGTATTATCGTAAATTATAATATTTTTATTTTTGCATCATGATATCTTGAATAATCGCTCGTATGTACATATAATATGCAAGAATATCGTGTGACATAATACATTCGTTTCTACGAATAGCACGCCTGTCACATCGTTTATCTTGAAAACTGCAATGTGCAATATAGTCTTTCAACATTGATAAAGTTTTATTTTGCTCGAATCTCTCATCTCAAATGTTGCGATATCGTTTCTTCGTCAAAGACTCGTTGTTATCGACTTTTCTTTTGTTATACCTTTATTATATCTACTTTGTGGATTACAATTATCTAAATCATAATAGATTATACATACCGCATTTTATAAATTATACTGAAATGCGCACTTTCACATGTTTTATCATACATGTGAAACGATTTCTTTATTATGTCAAGAACGTTAGAATACGATTTTACAATGGACTCTTCGCGTGATTAGAATTTGGACACAAATTTTTTACTCTTGGCCTTTCTCTCCTAATCGTTTTGTGTTACCGTAAAAACTTTCCTTTCCGTTACACATGCGCAACCAAAATGGATAAAATTCACAATATAAGTTAGAACAAGTTGCACAAAAATCAGCATGTCAATCTTCGAATAGGAAAAGCACTTTTAAAGACAAACGATCAAATCTCTCCATATTGCAAATCTTGAAGTATTGTCGTTTTTTATCAATTCGACTAAAAACAGAATGTACATACAACACGATTATTACAAGGGATTATTGCGTCATTTGGTTTTTTTTTTTTAACCAAGATAGCAATAAGTCGAGAACATCTGAATCTGTCTGTCGAGAATGATAATTGCGACGTTTTAGCAGTATTGTAAATCCATGGGCGGGATATGATATTGTGATGTGGGATTTAATATTATTCCATTATACGTTGTCATAAGACGGGCTTAAATCCGACAATTGCATATAAGAACGATATATCGTGACAATGACGGCATTTCAATGTCAGCTCATGAATAGTTTAACTCTAATATTGGATGCAATCTATCACATCTAACATTTTAGAGAAGATATTGATATACGTGACAAGCATTTACTTTCCACGTGTTCGAGGTACACTGAGATACGTTCCTACGTGGTGCGACTGGGCATGAAAATCGGTCGTAAAATGTAAAAGCCGTCCCGCTGTCCTTACAAGATACACGTCGGCGCATTTCGAATTACAACGATATAAAAAAACAGTAGCTGTACATGGGAATATAAGCTAACATCCTAATAAATTTTACCAACTCATTGAGATTCAATCGACTTGCACGCCCACCAAAATCGAAATTTCGATAAACATCTTTTTAAAACAAATAATTTATAATCATGTGGTATTTCTCTTCTTTTAACTAATTATCCACATTTTTTAAAGCAGATAAAATATTTTTATCTTTATAAATATCGAGTATTTTCGACATTTATTTGAATTGTATTGATTTGAATTATGCGTATATTTTCTTTTCTTACATTATAGCTGAAATATTATTTCTGTTTCAGGAGTCAATCCAAGGCTTCTTATCTAGCTTATAGACGAGAGCGCGGAGCTCCCGATAGCGAAGGTAGCTACAAAAGGACGATGTCGCCAACCTCTCGAATGGACGATTGGCCGCCACCTAGAGATCATGATGATCCAGTACTTTTACGCGTTACATCGCATCATACATTACAACAGCATCATCAACATCACAATAGTCATCATCAACATTCTGATCTTTCCAAATCACACAGCGTGGATGCTCTTCATCATCGATTGGAAGAGAGGTGTCTACAACAACAGCAACATTCGACAGAAGTGGTCAATAAGCTCTCGCACGAACTCAGCAAGAAACTCCAGGCTAGCGACGCGAGATCTCGCACTAACGAAAACAATAACAACGACAATCTTGAAGACCGACATCAGCATCATCATCATTACCAAGAAAAGAGACATCCAGAAAAGAGACACGACTACGAGCAACGCAGAGAAAGATTATCGCCGCAGAGCGTGGAGGTCCTTAATGACAGGAACAGGCAGCTGGAGCGAGAACGTCGGAAATTGGCAGCGAGCTGCGAGCCACTACCTCAAAATAGAGAGGTAAGATTATCTCCGGATATTTACCTTCACGTAATCGCGATATTTACTTGTTTTTCGTGTCTCAACGATTCATCTATTTTTGCATCTGTAAATATAGCAGTGTCAAGGACGTGCAAATTTTCACGCTTCTCTATCATTCAGTTTCTTGCAGAGCTCGTATGATATGCTTAATATTGTGCTGTTTTTTATATTTATTTTATCATTATCATTATTGTAACAATCTAATACTTCAATTTTTAAAATTTTTTAATTTATACGTTTAAAATGTTTTACATGAATTTCCTTATTTTTTTAATAACTTTCCTATATCTTATTGTGCTGTGTTATTGCTTTTCTGAGTTTATCATATACTAATTTACGAGATTCGGACAATTTCTTTTTCAGAAACAGCTACGAGAAATCAGTGGCCCGTTCCCAATCGCCGGCGACGACTTTTTCCGCGAGAGAAGCGCCACGATCGAAATGACTTCGAAAAATATTGAATTATTGAACCGTCGTAATGAGAAGAGGACGAATAGCGTGACAACATCCAACGCAATGTCCACTTACTCTATGAGCACCACGACATCATCAGTCGCTACGATGATGACGACCTATGATAATGGCTGGTCCAGAGAACACGAAACGCAGAGTTCCATAGAAGCTACCATCTTTTCCGACAGACCACCACCACCGACGAGCTCACCACCGAGATCACCGAATAACGACGAGATTGTAAGCCCACGAGGTGCTGTTCCAAGACGAACGGGAAGTTGCTCGAGCTCCTCTTCCTCAGGAAGATCAATCGATGCCCGCGTATCGCCTCGAGTTTTATTATCCAGATCGCCCCCCAAAAGCTCTCTGGACTCTCTCACGCGACACGAAGCCCGGATAGAGTGCACCACCAATAACAGAAAGGTCTCCAGTCCGACTCAAACGGATAATACAGGTTCCTGGAACAGATCTAACTCACCGAGCCGGCTAAGTCAAACGAGTGAGACAGAATCGCGGCTTGAAAGATCCTCCTCGAGATTTAAACCCGGCGGCAGATCGTCTACGTCTTCGATTTCAAGCGTTTCTAAAGCTTCCTCGTTCTCCTCGCCGAGAAACTCGCCAATCGAAGGGGACAAGTCATCGCCGACGTCGTCGCTCTGCGTGTCACCCCAGCCGGGCATAGAGGGACTGACGTTAGTACAACGTACAGAGGTCGTGCTCCGAGTGAACGCGGCCACCAGTGATGTCGCCTCGCAGACTGACATCTTGGAAGATACGGAACAAGACTATACCAGCATGATCCAACGACCGCTTCCGGAATCTAGGAAGAAACTACCGGAGGAGATTGAGTGCGAAGAACTCAGCAAGGATTTAGCCAGTCAACTCAGTCCCAACGATAAGCTTGTGCCTATACTCGGTGAGTATCTCTGTGATCTTGATCATTCTCGATTGCATGAATAATGATTTAAAGAGTCATTCGTCTGACGATTTTACTGTTTGCACTCTACGTCGTCATTAATAAATGCCAATGCAATTGATTTAATCAGATATGTTGCCCAATTTTTAAATGACGTTCACTTTAACGCAGATCTTGCGCTGACATATATACGATCAATCTAGTAGTCTCGTACGTTTACTTCAAGTGAAGGTACTTTAACCACGTTTGTGTGTGCGGACAATGTCTACACGCACGCGCGCGCAATTATCATCCGGGACACAATAGAATCGAGCATTTGAGGGCAGTGACCTTTAATTTTAATAAGCGCTAATTTAATCAATGACACAACTGCGTTATTCAATTATACATCGTGGCTGCCGCGATATTCGATGCAATCCCCTGTCGCATTATGGCTTCCATAGAATGCCGCTTTATATTGAATTTTTAATCGTAGAAAATAAATTGTTCGACAAATTTTCGTACCAAATCTTTGAATTTTGCATTTATCTGTATCTGAAGGAAGTTGGTGATGTATATCATGCTAAACATGCTTTACGAGTTTTTACGCGTTATTCACAAAGCGAATTTTGAAATCGCAAGTAAGTCAAGGTTGGTTACTTCGACGTAATGAATAACACAAGGTTTTTATTCATTGCGTTTACGCAAATTGTGCTTGTTCTTACAGTGAATAAAGAGGCGCGTTGTCAGACATGGAGGCTAAGTCGCATCCGTTACTAGTGCGAACGGTACTTAATGGACTTACAATTGATTCAGTAGTAAAGTTTCATTTCTTCTATAGCAGACAAAAAACGACAAGAAGTGACCATGTCCTAAAGAGCCTCGTTAACCCTGAATCTTGCATAATTACCGTTTCATCATATCCGGTGCAAAATTAAAAAAAAAAAATTCTCTTAATTTAGCTCATTTACCTTTAAATTTAGCACATTTTGATTGCTGATTTGAAAAACTATAACATAACTATTCTGCAGAAAAATATTATCGCATAATGATGCAAATAAATGTAAATGGCAAACAAGACGGCTTTCACTTCCCGCGTTTGCGACTCCCGCGTCGAACATTTCCGCGTATAGCCATTGTGGAACAATATCGTCTACGCCAACTAATTAACTTTTCATGTCTCGCGCTTCTTAATGCACACTTGAATCGGTGTCTCACGCCTTTGAGAAGCTGACATAAGCTTGAGGAGCGCGTGAGCTTAACACTACGCGTCCGTGTGGATGCACGCGTATATTTGCAGTTCGAGATTCAGTTCAACAGATATCGATATGTGTTTGCATAACATCTTAGCAGCGTCGTACGCAACACTATTCCGTGTGAACACAATAGACCACGTGAGATCGGTTATACCACACCACCCAATGGTAGGATTCCATATGCGATTTTCAATTGTAGAAAGTGAATTATTTAACAAAGGAAAATATCACGCGTTTTATAGTACTTGTATCAACTCGATTTTATAGGTCAAAGATTATTTTCTCGATGGTTGAAAACTCGCAACTTTGATATGTTTTATCTTTGAATTATAGAAAAAAATGAAGCTAATTGAATACAATTGAGCTTAGTCACAGTGATGCTCAATTACATAGATAATCATCGAAAGCGCTTCAATTGATACTTCCGGTGCGTAACTAATTTAAGCTGAACGATCGCGATGAATATTTACAATTTAGAATTTATCGTTGCAAATAAGTATCATCCGACATCATACCATATAAACACGCATTCTAGAAAATTAGCTTGAATTATCAAAGTCGCCTGCGGCCGCTGACGATTCGCTCGAGCGAATAAATTATCAGCGACCGTATATATGGCCGAATATGTAAATTGTACAATGATTGTACGAGAACTAGTAGCGTCTCCTCCTTTTCTCTTCTTCCTCGCGGTTAACTCGCACCGTACATCGACGAAAGGAATATATACGTGGTGTCGTAATGACCGATCGCCTTTCCCGACCGATCGGTGTCCACCGATCGTAGATCTGTCCTAATCAGTACGAGACACCGAGCATGCAACCGTATCGATGTTCGCCGTGTACCCTATCAAGGGAGGACTCGTATTCACTGGCGATATAGTACAACGATCCTGCACGTTACTCTACGAGCGACCGGTGTCTTATTTCTTAATTTCAACGAAAGCGCGACGACACTAATCGGTCCACATAATTAAGTTGTCGAAGAAGAGAAAGATGGTGCTCTTTTTGTAACGGTAATATGTATGTATGTGGTGCATATATACTATAGGAAGGCTATAAATATTATAGAACTTAACGAAATTACATACATATGCGACATATACACATATCACCGGAAGGTATCATGCTTCTCAATCTTAATCAATACAATGATATAATTCATTTGCATAATTATAAGAACAAAACATTTAGCATTTTATTTATGGTAGCGATATGTTCGAGTGTCGTGTCTATAAATATTATAGCATTGCACAAATCACGCGCGAGCACTTGCGTGAATCATGTCAGTATCACAGACAGAAAACATTCCTATCAGACTTTATAAAATATTGACGCATATTTTTGCGAGTTTATCAATACGGTGCAATTGATTTCCGCAAATCAAAAGAAGTATCAATGTAAAACTTATAGATTACCGAATAAAGAATGAATCTCGTTCTATCATAACGTGCATCAATCGGACGTAATAGTCGGGCCGTTATTCGTGAATCATAACAAATAATCGAGAGAAAAATCTTATCGCGTTTCAATATATCTTGGCAAATATATCTTTACTTTTAAACGATAGCACTTTGAGATGCAATTATCTTTAAGAACATTCAGATATGCTGGAAGAAAACTTCTTATCAAGTTTTCTCGAAACGAGGGTTGATGTGAGACTATATTGATAAACATTTTACTATCTGATATATGTATACAAGGTCGTGGTACAAGATGGCGGAATACTAAGGGCGAACTTAACACCGCGGCCATCAATTACCGTGATATACTAGTACATATAAACCGGCTACCGATGAGCCGATATTTATCCTGCAATAAATTACTCACGCCTAGTCCTGCGTTATCGTTAAGCGCGCAAGTATACTTTTATCATTCGTCTGATAATACTCCAGCGCTATCATTTCGCGCACAAAACTTGCATTAATAATCTGTTGACAGAGCCATTAGAGATAGTAAAAACGTGAAGAGGACGGTGATTCTTTTTATTATCAAGAAGAACACACATGGAATGTATATATTTTTGTTCGAGAAAGATGTGAAGTACATTCACATATAGATTTATCTTCTTCCTCCGTTATTTGCGCGCGTGCATCATTTTTATCGATACCTATCTTCCTTCGCATTTAGTCACGAAAAAGAGAAGCATGTGTCGTGAAAGAGGCCCGGTCCGTGTACGCGGTTACATATGGTCATTATTCGATGTAATTTTTAAGACGCGCGCGCGGGCTACTCATTGCTGTTTGTGGAACAGGATCATTATTTATTTTTTATTTTTTTTTTTTAATCAGCCTCTTTACCATCCAAATTTAAAAGCGCAACATATATATGAGCTGGCGAAATAATTATTCGTGAGATACATTTTTTGATCACATCAATATGCCAATGAATTTTTACGAATGGCTTGTAAGAACATCGAATAAAGCAGCATCGCATTAATATTCATCTTCATTTAAATGTATTATCGTAAATTATAATATTTTTATTTTTGCATCATGATATCTTGAATAATCGCTCGTATGTACATATAATATGCAAGAATATCGTGTGACATAATACATTCGTTTCTACGAATAGCACGCCTGTCACATCGTTTATCTTGAAAACTGCAATGTGCAATATAGTCTTTCAACATTGATAAAGTTTTATTTTGCTCGAATCTCTCATCTCAAATGTTGCGATATCGTTTCTTCGTCAAAGACTCGTTGTTATCGACTTTTCTTTTGTTATACCTTTATTATACTTTGTGGATTACAATTATCTAAATCATAATAGATTATACATACCGCATTTTATAAATTATACTGAAATGCGCACTTACACATGTTTTATCATACATGTGAAACGATTTCTTTATTATGTCAAGAACGTTAGAATACGATTTTACAATGGACTCTTCGCGTGATTAGAATTTGGACACAAATTTTTTACTCTTGGCCTTTCTCTCCTAATCGTTTTGTGTTACCGTAAAAACTTTCCTTTCCGTTACACATGCGCAACCAAAATGGATAAAATTCACAATATAAGTTAGAACAAGTTGCACAAAAATCAGCATGTCAATCTTCGAATAGGAAAAAGCACTTTTAAAGACAAACGATCAAATCTCTCCATATTGCAAATCTTGAAGTATTGTCGTTTTTTATCAATTCGACTAAAAACAGAATGTACATACAACACGATTATTACAAGGGATTATTGCGTCATTTGGTTTTTTTTTTTTAACCAAGATAGCAATAAGTCGAGAACATCTGAATCTGTCTGTCGAGAATGATAATTGCGACGTTTTAGCAGTATTGTAAATCCATGGGCGGGATATGATATTGTGATGTGGGATTTAATATTATTCCATTATACGTTGTCATAAGACGGGCTTAAATCCGACAATTGCATATAAGAACGATATATCGTGACAATGACGGCATTTCAATGTCAGCTCATGATCCGATTAAAGAAGAAGAATCAGTGCGGGTGCAACTACGCATACTTCGGATTAAGCGGAGCCTTCATTCAAGAATGATAAACGTCGGAACGATGCAGCAATGTCAGTATTGCGAATGTTAGTCTCACTTCGGTGATCCTTATCTACTGCAGTAAAAATAAAACGTTCGTCCGGATGAATCGTGTCTTGCGTGCTCATAACTTGTACTTACACAAGACTAAACAGGAAAATAGATCCGTTCGCGGAAAAGAACACATTCTTTATGTTATATTACATTCTTATTGTCGCATATTTTGTTACAGATATATATTTTTGCGAATTTAAAAAATTGTATTATTTCATGACTAAGTTGATTGTATGTTGATTATATACGGTTAGTTGCAGTCATAGATAAAAGATAGAAATAAGAGACAAAATAGAGATACAAATAAAAGTAAATGCTCGTATAAAGAGTATAAGGCTTTATTATGCATGAATCGCACTTAATGCAAGGATGCACTATTGGAATGATAATTCTTGTAACATTGCAACCGTTCCATGATATTCCAGTAAGAAATTCTTGATCGTTATTTTATGAAAAAACCGTGAGAAACTAACAGAACCGTATAGGTAGAATTAAAATTCATATAACACACAGACCTATCCGGTTTCGATTCAATGGTTTCATCGCCACCAACTTCTATGAGCTTTACATGTAGGCATATCTATATCCAACTATGACTTCAGACGAAGATTAATCGACGTTACTGCACATTTAATCATTGGGAATGCGTTTACTACAATCGCACAAATCCATACAATAAAACGATCGTATCAGACGTCTCTTGAAAATGCCTTTTTGTGAGATTTGTTAGACTTCATTTTATCTTCATTTAAATGTATTGAATTGTAAGATATACGTAACAAAAAAAAAAGACACATCCATTTTGTGTTAAAAAGCTAATTGTACTAATAAAATAAATAATGAAACTTTTAGATAAATATGATTAGTTGCGATAAATAACTGAAAGTTATTTATCGCAACTAATTTATAATGTTACAACGTTGATCATATTTTACGTATATGACTACATACTTAAAATGTTACATGCTTATTTATAATTTGCTAGCTAATAACATTTTATCTGAAATTATTTATTCCATCTAAGTATTATTATGAAAAATGTATATGTGGATAGTTTGACTCTAATATTAGATGCAATCTATCACATCTAACATTTTAGAGAAGATATCGATATACGTGACAAGCATTTACTTTCCACGTGTTCGAGGTACACTAAGATACGTTCCTACGTGGTGCGACTGGGCATGAAAATCGGTCGTAAAATGTAAAAGCCGTCCCGCTGTCCTTACAAGATACACGTCGGCGCATTTCGAATTACAACGATATAAAAAAACAGTAGCTGTACATGGGAATATAAGCTAACATCCTAATAAATTTTACCAACTCATTGAGATTCAATCGACTTGCACGCCCACCAAAATCGAAATTTCGATAAACATCTTTTTAAAACAAATAATTTATAATCATGTGGTATTTCTCTTCTTTTAACTAATTATCCACATTTTTTAAAGCAGATAAAATATTTTTATCTTTATAAATATCGAGTATTTTCGACATTTATTTGAATTGTATTGATTTGAATTATGCGTATATTTTCTTTTCTTACATTATAGCTGAAATATTATTTCTGCTTCAGGAGTCAATCCAAGGCTTCTTATCTAGCTTATAGACGAGAGCGCGGAGCTCCCGATAGCGAAGGTAGCTACAAAAGGACGATGTCGCCAACCTCTCGAATGGACGATTGGCCGCCACCTAGAGATCATGATGATCCAGTACTTTTACGCGTTACATCGCATCATACATTACAACAGCATCATCAACATCACAATAGTCATCATCAACATTCTGATCTTTCCAAATCACACAGCGTGGATGCTCTTCATCATCGATTGGAAGAGAGGTGTCTACAACAACAGCAACATTCGACAGAAGTGGTCAATAAGCTCTCGCACGAACTCAGCAAGAAACTCCAGGCTAGCGACGCGAGATCTCGCACTAACGAAAACAATAACAACGACAATCTTGAAGACCGACATCAGCATCATCATCATTACCAAGAAAAGAGACATCCAGAAAAGAGACACGACTACGAGCAACGCAGAGAAAGATTATCGCCGCAGAGCGTGGAGGTCCTTAATGACAGGAACAGGCAGCTGGAGCGAGAACGTCGGAAATTGGCAGCGAGCTGCGAGCCACTACCTCAAAATAGAGAGGTAAGATTATCTCCGGATATTTACCTTCACGTAATCGCGATATTTACTTGTTTTTCGTGTCTCAACGATTCATCTATTTTTGCATCTGTAAATATAGCAGTGTCAAGGACGTGCAAATTTTCACGCTTCTCTATCATTCAGTTTCTTGCAGAGCTCGTATGATATGCTTAATATTGTGCTGTTTTTTATATTTATTTTATCATTATCATTATTGTAACAATCTAATACTTCAATTTTTAAAATTTTTTAATTTATACGTTTAAAATGTTTTACATGAATTTCCTTATTTTTTTAATAACTTTCCTATATCTTATTGTGCTGTGTTATTGCTTTTCTGAGTTTATCATATACTAATTTACGAGATTCGGACAATTTCTTTTTCAGAAACAGCTACGAGAAATCAGTGGCCCGTTCCCAATCGCCGGCGACGACTTTTTCCGCGAGAGAAGCGCCACGATCGAAATGACTTCGAAAAATATTGAATTATTGAACCGTCGTAATGAGAAGAGGACGAATAGCGTGACAACATCCAACGCAATGTCCACTTACTCTATGAGCACCACGACATCATCAGTCGCTACGATGATGACGACCTATGATAATGGCTGGTCCAGAGAACACGAAACGCAGAGTTCCATAGAAGCTACCATCTTTTCCGACAGACCACCACCACCGACGAGCTCACCACCGAGATCACCGAATAACGACGAGATTGTAAGCCCACGAGGTGCTGTTCCAAGACGAACGGGAAGTTGCTCGAGCTCCTCTTCCTCAGGAAGATCAATCGATGCCCGCGTATCGCCTCGAGTTTTATTATCCAGATCGCCTCCCAAAAGCTCTCTGGACTCTCTCACGCGACACGAAGCCCGGATAGAGTGCACCACCAATAACAGAAAGGTCTCCAGTCCGACTCAAACGGATAATACAGGTTCCTGGAACAGATCTAACTCACCGAGCCGGCTAAGTCAAACGAGTGAGACAGAATCGCGGCTTGAAAGATCCTCCTCGAGATTTAAACCCGGCGGCAGATCGTCTACGTCTTCGATTTCAAGCGTTTCTAAAGCTTCCTCGTTCTCCTCGCCGAGAAACTCGCCAATCGAAGGGGACAAGTCATCGCCGACGTCGTCGCTCTGCGTGTCACCCCAGCCGGGCATAGAGGGACTGACGTTAGTACAACGTACAGAGGTCGTGCTCCGAGTGAACGCGGCCACCAGTGATGTCGCCTCGCAGACTGACATCTTGGAAGATACGGAACAAGACTATACCAGCATGATCCAACGACCGCTTCCGGAATCTAGGAAGAAACTACCGGAGGAGATTGAGTGCGAAGAACTCAGCAAGGATTTAGCCAGTCAACTCAGTCCCAACGATAAGCTTGTGCCTATACTCGGTGAGTATCTCTGTGATCTTGATCATTCTCGATTGCATGAATAATGATTTAAAGAGTCATTCGTCTGACGATTTTACTGTTTGCACTCTACGTCGTCATTAATAAATGCCAATGCAATTGATTTAATCAGATATGTTGCCCAATTTTTAAATGACGTTCACTTTAACGCAGATCTTGCGCTGACATATATACGATCAATCTAGTAGTCTCGTACGTTTACTTCAAGTGAAGGTACTTTAACCACGTTTGTGTGTGCGGACAATGTCTACACGCACGCGCGCGCAATTATCATCCGGGACACAATAGAATCGAGCATTTGAGGGCAGTGACCTTTAATTTTAATAAGCGCTAATTTAATCAATGACACAACTGCGTTATTCAATTATACATCGTGGCTGCCGCGATATTCGATGCAATCCCCTGTCGCATTATGGCTTCCATAGAATGCCAAAACGCCGAGAGCACCTGATGATGTCTCTTTTTTTGTTCCTTATCAGTTCCAGCGCCGGAGCACAAGAAACCCACCGACTACGTTTCCGGCCTGTTCAGGGTAGAGACGACCTTGCAGCCACGATCGAAGCGACGGCTCTCCCTAGAAGAGTCAATGCCCTTCTGCAACGAGAACTCGGATATGGATAAAAAGTAAGTTCTTTTTTTTAATTTTAATTTTCTTAATTAAAGCGTATTTAAAGCAAGCTCGCGCCCGCTCCGATATCACGCGCGTTGTCTTCATCCGGTTGCATCGAGGGTCAGTAAGACTGTTGTTACAGTCAAGACAGATAAGACAGTATAAATATATACCAAATGCGATAATTGATAGTTTTCACGTGCTTGCGAGCATTGGATTACGTGCTATTAATCAAATCGCATGCCTTGAAATTCAAGGCTTTCATTACAAGTGCAAATCCGTAATACTCGGTACTCTACTTAATTGGTTCATGTACATCTAGGAGACATCTTATAATTTTGATAAACAAGCAAGAAGATCTTTTTTTTTGTGCTCTCTCAGTGTCATTTAAAATTCTTCGCTTGCACATTCGCGCTGTATGTGTGGCCGCTACTACAAGTATAAAATAAATCTGCAAGAATTTTTTGGATCAGTTGTAGATAAACATGTGTTTTTTTAGTAACGTTAAACGTCGTAATTTGACAAATGCAGTCGCAATCAGGAATGTATTATACGAATAAATTAATTATATAATATAGGAGTCGGTCCTTTTCTTTATTTTATGAGGTTTCCTTCTTTACTTGTATATATGCGGTTTTTTCGCTTTAATTTATATTTACTTGATGTACGAAAATCGTATTGTGAGAAATATTGACATATCTTCATATTTATTATATATTTATTATTTGTAAATTTTGTTATGCTTTTTTACTACTATCTATTGTTATTTATTTATTATAATTTTGCGATTTCTTTTCTTTTCCTTGTCGACTCGGTCTGTCTTGTACACTTATGGACAATACTTCTTCCGTATTCAAAGAGAAAGTGCCAAAGCACCAAGCTATTACGTAATCCACCATAAATGATATTGTCAAGCCCAACTGCTCGATGCTTGTTCTTGACGCATCATATTATTTGCCAGTCTCTAACGTATGGCTGAAAGTGACGTATCGTACTAGTAGATTGCGCGGTGTGCTCGCAACACAAGTCAAACGGGAAATGGAAATGGGGCCTCCAGAAAAGTAGATACGACTTCCCATGTTTATTCCGTCCGATTAAAGCGACCGGGCGGTCAACGGCATTGGAAATTCCGTGTGCTACATAAAAGCTTGCGATTGTAAATTACAATTTCACATGCAAAGTGTGTCTAATATGACATAGTAAAATTTCTGCCGGCTTAATAATAATCGATTTAAAATCAAAACAAAAAAAAAGAAACGTACTACGTTAAATCAATTTTAGTCGTACACGCGGACTTTCTATCACATTTTACATCGAAACAGAAAAAAATCGGCATCTTCAAAAATAATTTGAGATCGCAAAAAATCGCAACAATTTTGTGTAAATATTTGCGGTGTAAATGATGATTGAAGGAATAATTACATTGATGTTCGCTTGCGTTTCTTAATTACAGTATCTCGTTTTAAACATATTTCAAACATAACTCGCGGAGATAAACACGCAACGTAATTTTTTTTTAAATAGCATGCAATCTGATATACGTATCCCGCTTTCTTTTCTTTATCACTTTCTCCTCTCTTATAGACTTGCTTAGACGGACAATATCGCACATGCTGTTATTTAACTGATAACAATCAACCGGCCGGATTTATGCGGAACAAATATCCCATTGAATCGTGTGCTTCTCATCCGTGAACTTGAAAATCCATTGCTGTTTTATTCATTACAAACTTTGTGTGTATGTGTGTATGTGTACATGAGATTATATATATATATACATATATATGCAAATGTAAATTGAATTCTACGGCGCAAAATATTCCTTCATATCCGCTCATAAATTATTCTGTCTCTCCTGCCTCGCCATGAAAATGTCGAAATTAATTCAATCGTGACTCACATTTATTGACGCAATTCCTTACCTTCGCGCAAGGATTGACAATTATAGAAACATTTTTGCAAATGTTGCAAGAGAGAAAGAAGGAGGAACTGTTTGGTCGGCATTAATCGACTAGAGGTGTAATCATGGCAATAAATTCTTTTCAGACATGAAACGATACCTTCGACTCCCGTCACGCCACTGTCGGCCGATCTTACCAGCCCTCTCTCCCCTACTTCGGCTTATTTCACGACATCCGAAGGAAAAGCAAGGTTCCTGACGAGATACTCCCAAGACGTCACGGCGGAGGGATTAACACGTCAAGAGGATGCACCGGCGGTTGAACCGACGAACAGCCTTGACCTTAGGCAGAAAAAGGTACAAACCAAAGTATAATTAAACGCTTGCAGAATGTGCTATAATTAACTACACGGTTGCCTGTGACTAAGTTCGATTGATATGCAGTCGCGAGATACCGAGATACATGGTCGGATAATAATGATTATTCGCGGATAGTAGGATGATAAGTATCGTTTCATCAAACCTCCGCGAGTATAAAATCTTATGTAAAACATAATTATCGCGCTTTGGAATGTCGTCTCTTATCATATATCTTTAAAGCTGCACTGTTACCTAGTCGTCCGTAAATAATTACCTTGCCGATTAAATATCCTCGCGCTTCGTTACTCGAATCCTGGCATAGATACGGTTCACTTAGTATCATATCACCATATGCAGACACATTCTGAAATTATTATCTAATAATCTTTTAGGAGGAGCTGATGATGCGGCTTGACAGGAAACTGGTGGTCCTCAAGGCCGAGCAAGAGGCCGTAAGGGAGGAAGGTGAGGTGAACGAAGCACTAGGTGCGCGAGTAACCGTTCGCGTTTCCGCCGTAGCTCGTCCGCCGGAAGCGTCCAAGTATCGGAATCACGTAGAGGAAGTCGGCAAGATTACGAGTCTTCTTCTCGGCCTTAGCGGCAGATTGGCTCGCGCTGAGAACGCTCTTTATGGAATGCCGGCCGACCACGCAGAAAGAGTAAGTATGAAATTTCTTGTTTCTTTGCATGCTTGGTATAAACGCTTTTCCGCCGTACCAATTAAAGTTGATCGTATACATGAGATAGAATACATTGCAATTTGATATTAGTATTTGGTAATCAGAAAATTATAGGATATACAGAATTATGCGTATAAAAGATTTAATAAAATCTAATTTTAATTATAAATAATGATTTCTTTCTAACACGGATGTTAATAATGATACTACTTTATAAATATTAGAGATATTTATATTTTAATTTTATATTATAACTTTCTTTAAGCATGAGTTTTTCCCGTGTAATCTAAAAGATATATAAATTTATTTATATCAATTTTGTCTGTATTATTCTGTGTAGAAAATTTTGGAAAGCAAACGGGACAAGCTAATGGATCAATTGGAAGAAGCGAAGATTCTGAAGAATAATATTGATAAACGTAGCGTAAATGTATCGGCGATCCTAGCAAAGTACCTGAATGAAGAAGAGTTTGCTGACTACCAACACTTCATCAATATGAAAGCAAAGTTGATAGTGGACGGTCGCGAAATATTGGACAAGGTGAAACTTGGCGAGGAACAATTAACCGCGTTGAAAGAGGCAATTGACTAGTCGTAACGATGGACTTACATGCTAAGTTATTATGAGATCGATTCATAAATAACCGTACATTACCAAGGGTGAACAATGGAAAAATCTCGCAAAATTAGTCAACCTGACTCGAAAACGTAGATTAATATGGATGAAAAATTACGGGAACACACACAAAAGAGAAACATCATCTAAATCTGGTTCAGTATTAAAAATCTTAAATTTCTACATATATAATTATAAATGAAAAATAATGTATTTTGACAAAGAGTTATGAAACACATATATAAATACTTTTATATATATATGTATGTCTAATGTCCTAGATGGATCTATTTCTGTGTCTAAAATTGTGTTGTATACAAGTTGTCTATTATTATGTCTAAAATTATGTTATATAAAATTTATTTGTATTAATTAAATAATTTTGAAAATTTATTTAAAAATATGTTCCTGTATTGTGAAATCAGAAGATAGCGATAGATAAAAACATCTTTAAGATGATATTATAAAAATGTCGAGTAATTTAATGCATGGTCAAAATAATATTAAAACAAATGTGTAAAATCTACTTTGCGTATAAAATAAAACCAGAGAAGTCATATAAATCTGATGTCCTCAAGATCTAAGTGTGATCCTCTGAAAGATCACCTTAAGTGCCTAGTCTTTGTTAAGCTTGCATCGATTTTGTCGTATTCCCTCAGTAATCCACAAAGAAAACTGTATTGTTTATATATTTGTGGCATACTGAAGAAAATCATTACGAAACGCTACGGTAGTTGCATAAGTTGAATGAAAAAACCAGGATAAAGAGAGTTATTTTCAGTTTTCTTAAAAAAAAAAAAAAACTGAAACTATACGTTAAAATGATGTTGTAATAATTACAAAAATAGATTTGTAAATGTAAATACCAGAAATACACACACGATATATGTGTGTGATGTAGACTTGAAAAGAGAAAACCAGAACGTGTGTAAACGGTAAATAAAATTGATCGAGAACAATGCCGTAAATAACATATAATACGGCTCTTTTATAAGCATACATATATATATATATA